TCTGGCAATTCTGACTTTATATCTCACATTCTGACTTTATATCTCACAATTCTGACTTTATATCTTACAATTCTGACTTCATATCTGGCAATTCTGACTTTATATCAGGTAATTATGACTTTATATCTGGCAATTCTGACTTTAAATCTGGCAATTCTGACTTTGTATCTCACAATTCTGACTTTATATCTCAAATTCTGACTTTTATATCAGGCAATTCTGACTTAATATCTCACAATTCTGACTTTTATATCAGGCAATTCTGACTTTAAATCTGGCAATTCTGACTTTAATATCAGGCAATTCTGACTTAATCTGGTCAATTCTGACTTTGCATCGGGCAATTCTGACTTTATATCTCACAATTCTGACTTCATATCAGGCAATTCTGACTTTATATCAGGCAATTCTGACTTTATATCAGGCAATTCTGACTTTATATCAGCAATTCTGACTTTAAATCTGGCAATTCTGACTTTATATCAGGCAATTCTGACTTAATATCTCACAATTCTGACTTTATATCAGGCAATTCTGACTTAATATCTCACAATTCTGACTTTATATCAGGCAATTCTGACTTTATATCTCACAATTCTGACTTCATATCTGGCAATTCTGACTTTATATCAGGCAATTCTGACTTAATATCGGGCAATTCTGACTATTTATCATGAAATTCTGACTTTATATCTCATAATTCTGACTTTATATCAGGTAATTATGACTTTATATCTGGCAATTCTGACTTTAAATCTGGCAATTCTGACTTTGTATCTCACAATTCTGACTTTATATCTCGCAATTCTGACTTTAAATCTGGCAATTCTGACTTTATATCTCACAATTCTGACTTTATATCTTACAATTCTGACTTCATATCAGGCAATTCTGACTATTTATCATGAAATTCTGATTTTATATCTCATAATTCTGACTTTATATCAGGTAATTATGACTTTATATCTGGCAATTCTGACTTTAAATCTGGCAATTCTGACTTTGTATCTCACAATTCTGACTTCATATCTGGAAATTCTGACTTTAAATCTCGCAATTCTGACTTTATATCTCACAATTCTGACTTTCTATCTCACAATTCTGACTTCATATCTGGCAATTCTGACTTTAAATCTGGCAATTCTGACTTTATATCTCACAATTCTGACTTTATATCTCGCAATTCTGACTTTATATCTCACAATTCGACTTTATATCTCACAATTCTGACTTTAAATCTGGCAATTCTGACTTTATATCAGGCAATTCTGACTTTAATATCTCACAATTCTGACTTTATATCAGGCAATTCTGACTTAATATCTCACAATTCTGACTTTATATCAGGCAATTCTGACTTTATATCTCACAATTCTGACTTCATATCTGGCAATTCTGACTTTATATCAGGCAATTCTGACTTAATATCTCACAATTCTGACTTTATATCAGGCAATTCTGACTTTATATCTCACAATTCTGACTTCATATCAGGCAATTCTGACTATTTATCATGAAATTCTGATTTTATATCTCATAATTCTGACTTTATATCAGGTAATTATGACTTTATATCTGGCAATTCTGACTTTAAATCTGGCAATTCTGACTTTGTATCTCAATTCTGACTTTATATCTCGCAATTCTGACTTTAAATCTGGCAATTCTGACTTTGTATCTCACAATTCTGACTTTATATCTTACAATTCTGACTTCATATCTGGCAATTCTGACTTTAAATCTGGCAATTCTGACTTTATATCTCACAATTCTGACTTTATATCTTACAATTCTGACTTTATATCTGGATATTCTGACTTTAAATCTGGCAATTCTGACTTTGTATCTCACAATTCTGACTTTATATCTCGCAATTCTGACTTTAAATCTGGCAATTCTGACTTTAAATCTGGCAATTCTGACTTTATATCTCACAATTCTGACTTTATATCTCGCAATTCTGACTTTATATCTCGCAATTCTGACTTTATATCTCACAATTCTGACTTTATATCTCGCAATTCTGACTTTAAATCTGGCAATTCTGACTTTAAATCTGGCAATTCTGACTTTGTATCTCACAATTCTGACTTTATATCTCACAATTCTGACTTTATATCTTACAATTCTGACTTCATATCAAGCAATTCTGACTTTACATCAGGCAATTCTGACTTTGTATCGGGCAATTCTGACTTTAAATCTGGCAATTCTGACTTCATATCTCGCAATTCTGACTTCATATCAGGCAATTCTGACTGTTTATCATGAAATTCTGATTTTATATCTCACAATTCTGACTTTAAATCTGACAATTCTGACTTCATATCTGGCAATTCTGACTTTATATCTCACAATTCTGACTTTATATCTCGCAATTCTGACTTTATATCTTACAATTCTGACTTCATATCTGGCAATTCTGACTTTATATCAGGTAATTATGACTTTATATCTGGCAATTCTGACTTTAAATCTGGCAATTCTGACTTTGTATCTCACAATTCTGACTTTATATCTCACAATTCTGACTTTATATCAGGCAATTCTGACTTAATATCTCACAATTCTGACTTTATATCAGGCAATTCTGACTTTATATCTCGCAATTCTGACTTCATATCTGGCAATTCTGACTTTAAATCTGGCAATTCTGACTTTATATCAGGCAATTCTGACTTTAAATCTGTCAATTCTGACTTTGCATCGGGCAATCCTGACTTCATATCTCGCAATTCTGACGTCATATCAGGCAATTCTGACTTTAAATCTGGCAATTCTGACTTTATATCAGGCAATTCTGACTTTATATCAGGCAATTCTGACTTTAAATCTGGCAATTCTGACTTCATATCAGGCAATTCTGACTTAATATCTCACAATTCTGACTTTATATCAGGCAATTCTGACTTAATATCTCACAATTCTGACTTTATATCAGGCAATTCTGACTTTATATCTCACAATTCTGACTTCATATCTGGCAATTCTGACTTTATATCAGGCAATTCTGACTTAATATCTCACAATTCTGACTTCATATCAGGCAATTCTGACTATTTATCATGAAATTCTGATTTTATATCTCATAATTCTGACTTTATATCAGGTAATTATGACTTTATATCTGGCAATTCTGACTTTAAATCTGGCAATTCTGACTTTGTATCTCACAATTCTTACTTTATATCTCACAATTCTGACTTTAAATCTGGCAATTCTGACTTTATATCTCACAATTCTGACTTTATATCTTACAATTCTGACTTCATATCTGGCAATTCTGACTTTAAATCTGCAATTCTGACTTTATATCTCACAATTCTGACTTTATATCTTACAATTCTGACTTTATATCTGGCAATTCTGACTTTAAATCTGGCAATTCTGACTTTGTATCTCACAATTCTGACTTTATATCTGGCAATTCTGACTTTAAATCTGGCAATTCTGACTTTGTATCTCACAATTCTGACTTTATATCTCACAATTCTGACTTTATATCAGGCAATTCTGACTTTATATCTCACAATTCTGACTTTATATCTCGCAATTCTGACTTTATATCTCGCAATTCTGACTTTAAATCTGGCAATTCTGACTTTAAATCTGGCAATTCTGACTTTGTATCTCACAATTCTGACTTTATATCTCACAATTCTGACTTTATATCTGGCAATTCTGACTTTATATCTCACAATTCTGACTTTATATCTCGCAATTCTGACTTTATATCTAGCAATTCTGACTTTAAATCTGGCAATTCTGACTTTAAATCTGGCAATTCTGACTTTGTATCTCACAATTCTGACTTTATATCTCACAATTCTGACTTTATAGCTTACAATTCTGACTTCATATCAAGCAATTCTGACTTTACATCAGGCAATTCTGACTTTGTATCGGGCAATTCTGACTTTAAATCTGGCAATTCTGACTTCATATCTCACAATTCTGACTTCATATCAAGCAATTCTGACTTTACATCAGGCAATTCTGACTTTGTATCGGGCAATTCTGACTTTAAATCTGGCAATTCTGACTTCATATCTCACAATTCTGACTTTATATCTTACAATTCTGACTTCATATCAAGCAATTCTGACTTTACATCAGGCAATTCTGACTTTGTATCGGGCAATTCTGACTTTACATCAGGCAATTCTGACTTTGTATCTCACAATTCTGACTTTATATCTCACAATTCTGACTTTATATCTCACAATTCTGACTTTATATCTCACAATTCTGACTTTAAATCAGGCAATTCTGACTTTGTATCGGGCAATTCTGACTTTACATCAGGCAATTCTGACTTTGTATCTCACAATTCTGACTTTATATCTCACAATTCTGACTTCATATCTCACAATTCTGACTTCATATCAAGCAATTCTGACTTTACATCAGGCAATTCTGACTTTGTATCGGGCAATTCTGACTTTAAATCTGGCAATTCTGACTTTATATCTCACAATTCTGACTTTATATCTCACAATTCTGACTTTATATCTCACAATTCTGACTTTATATCTCACAATTCTGACTTTAAATCTGTCAATTCTGACTTCATATCTGGCAATTCTGACTTCATATCGGGCAATTCTGACTTTATATCTCACAATTCTGACTTTAAATCTGGCAATTCTGACTTTATATCTCACAATTCTGACTTTAAATCAGGCAATTCTGACTTTATATCAGGTAATTATGACTTTATATCTGGCAATTCTGACTTTATATCTGACAATTCTGACTATTTATCAGGAAATTCTGACATTATATCTTGCAATTCAGATATAAAGTCAGAATTGCCTGATACAAAGTCAGAATTGCCCAAAACAAAGTCAGAATTGCAATTCTGAGAGAAAGTCTAAATTGCGAGACAAAAAGTCGTAATTACCTTTTTTATTCTGTGAAGGAAACAAGCCTCCACACAACTCCACTTTTGATGTCAAGCGAACCGTTACAAGCAACAAAAGTTTCAGACACAAACTGACCTCGTCATTTCCCCGTTCTTCTCTTCTCCGTCTCCTGTCAGGTGTAACTCGTTCTCCTCCTCTTTTCCAGGTGTGGGCTGCTCCTCCTCTTTGGTCTTCTCCTCCTGTTTCTTCTGCTGCAGTTCCTTCTCTCTCTTCGGCGGACGCCCCCTCCTGGTAGGAGGCGTGTGCGTTACAGCGCTCTTGCAGACGCTCTTGCTAACGCCCTTCCTAGTGGGCATCGGGTTCATCTTCTTCGTGGCATTCGGAGGCGGAGACACCGAGAGCGAGAAGGAGACGGCTGCAGGTTTAGATGGCGAAGACAAAGGCTCTTGCTCTCGGGAAAACAGTGGCGTTCCCAGTGACGACGACGAGGGTTGAGCGGGAGAGAGGAAGGAGTCGGCGGGCGTAACGTTAGCGGGGAGTAGCGATAGCTCCATGGCGGCTCGAACCTCGGGCTGCTGATCGTGGTGTTTCTCCAGGTGCCGCGCGAGCGAGCGGAAGTGCCGTCCACAGTACGGACAGTGTCTGCGACTCGTGCCGTGCCCAATGTTTATGTTTATGTTATTGTTTATGTTGGTGGTGGGCGGGGCTAGAGGCTGCTGGAAGGGGGAGGCGGAGGAAGGGGCGGGGCTAGCAAACGAAAGGGGTCGGGGCTGAGTCTTTTTCTTCACACTGGCTGAGGTTTTTCTTTTCTTGCGCCGCCTCATCATTCGGCCCCTCAGCTCCTCTAGCTCTTCATCGTCGTCGTCGTCATCGTCATCTTCCTCTTCCTCCTCTTCTTCTTCATCCTCGCGGTCGGAGTCGCTGGGTTCAGAGTGGGATGCCGGAGAGGAGGAGGGAGACAGAGACCATGAGGGAGTGAGGTAGTCGGAAACATTGAGAGAGAGAGGGAGGGAACTGGGATCCTCCTCCTACAGACAGAGGAAGAAATGGGCTCTAAAAATCTCATTTTTGTTTTAGTGAAGATGTTTCATCAAACGTGTGTATTTGGAACGGAGCAAAATGAGTGTTTCTAGTCCTTCATTTATACAGCGTTTTTTATACGGACAGTTTCACAGCGGCTTTACAGTGATGACAGGAGATTACAGTAACATTGTTTCAGCTTTACAGCAGATCTGGAATAAAGTTATTGTCCATTTGATCGATTCACTTCTAGAGTTGTGTATTTATTGGAGGAATATGTCGACATAAGATGGTTTTTAATACTTTGCTAGATTTTCAATTTATTGTAGCATATTTATCTATTAGCCTATTTTCAGATGCGTTAGAAACTCAAACTCATGTTGAGTGTGTGTGAGTGTGTGATTTACCTTCTTGATGTCTCCCTCTGGGTTGAATCCACACTCAAAGCCGCGTGGAGACACTGAGCTGTGAAAACCCTGAATTAAACACAACACAGAAGTGAAACACACACACACACACACACAGTGAGTCTCAACAGGAGCTGGGACGTTTAAAGTCTCAGGGACTGCGTCCGAAATCTCGTACTATGTGAGTAGGTACTATATTTAAATAAGAACGTACCTTGCGACCGTTAAAAAAGTACGTTCTATATAGTATGAATACGAGTAGTATGAATGAGTCCGGACGTACTACATGCGCCACGGTGTTGTCACGTGACATACGCAGTCACAACTAGGGTTGGGTATCGTTTGAATTTGAAAGATTCTGATTCCGATTCCTTGTTTCGATTCCGGTTCCTAACGATTCTCGATTCCGATTCTTCTAAGAGGCAGGGTCAAAAAAGTTTAGCTAACCTTGCTAACCAACGGCCTTTCGGAAGGAAATACTCCTTCTGTAAAAATACTCCTTCTGTCACAAATTTTGCATTTTGCAGAGATTTCGTTATTTTTAGAAAAGTGAAGCCACACTTTGGATCGTCGACGTAAGCTACTCATGTTCGACTCGCGCGGTTATGCCAACACTTCCGGTAGACGCTTCTTCGTTGGTGTTGTTCAGCGGTTTCTTCTTCCGCTCGGCGGACTGTGAATATCGAAACTAGGAATCGAAATTTTAACTTTTGAACGATTCCGGGAAAAACGAAAAGTTAGTCTCGGTTCCAATCGATACTCGATTCTCGATACTCAACCCTAGTCACAACAGTACGGAAATTTAGAGGCCATTCCAGTTCTTCTTTCCGTTTTCATCTTTGGTTTTATGTCGTCCGAGCCGACAATCGAGTTTCTCAAATAACATTTATTTACCCAATACATTTTACCTCATAAAACACACAACCCCCCTGTGAACAATGACAGATGTTGAGTTTTGGCAAGGAAAAAGCCATTTACTTGCTTGTGATATTACCATCGATAAATAAACATGAATGAATCAATAGAGTTACCTCCGGTTTCCGCCATTTTCAACTATAACAACAACTCCTCTCCCGTGGCATCATGGGATACTAAAGTGTCCATCGCATGCGCACTTCCAGAATCTCGCCGGAAGTAGTAGATCACCCGGGTACTTTTCGCCTACCGTTTTTCCAATGCTATGATTTCGGACTCGCGTACTGTTTTTCGCACACTATATAGCAGGGACGTTTTGGATTTCGGACGCAACCAGTGCTTCATTGGGGATTTTCAAACATAAAGGTTGTGGGAGATAAACGTGACCATTAATAAATTCCCATTTAATTCACCAATAGGAGTGTTACGTGTGATTATGTGTCTGGCGGACTCACCAAGCCGTTGTCCCCCCAGTCGCTCAGGCTGTAGTCCACGGTGATCTCCTCACCTTTGGCAATGTCTCGAATCGCTATGACGACAAGCCGGACCTGATTCCCACAATGCACCTCTCTAATCCTGCAGTTGGCCGGCGGGTGGAAGAGCACAGGACCTCGAACACCACTCGCTCCCTCTTCCCCGAGCTCAGGAACACTACACACACACACACACACACACACATGCGTTAAAGAGCCATATTCTACTGTTTGATCATGAAGAAGCTCCAGTTCTCCTCTACATCAACGTCAGGTTTCCTGAACTCCTGAAACTGTAGTCTCGAGTTTCTCCGGGAACGAACACGTCACAATATTCCTCATTATAATAATTAATGAGCACAATAAAGGGGCGGGGCCTGCTTGAGTTAGTTAGTAGTGTGTTAAACTGGCGGTTATGGAAAGGGGCGGGGCATTTCCCATACACACTCAAAGCGCTCGACCAATCACAACACTCCGCTCCAGCCGACCAATCAGAGCACAGTGAGCTTTTCAGGAGGAGGGGCTTCATGGAGACAGGAAGTGAACAGAGCGTTACTGACAGACTGGGAAGAGAGGAGCCGCAACAATGGAGAATATGAGGAGAATAATCAACATTCAAGCAGGAGAAGCTGTGTAAGAGTCAGTACCAGAGCTGTGACGGGTCGGTGAGGAAGTACGGGCTCCCCGGCGGGGGAAGGCGGTCCTCTGTTCCCTCTGCGTACGGCTCGTCCCCTTACACAACAATCACAACAACGTCAGTCACACACAACACATGAGGAAACTAGCCCTGTAAAGCTTCACATATCAAATTATACTTTTAAAAATGTTTTTTTGTTGAGAATGATATACAGTCAAACCAACATCTATTCAGACTCCTTCAACATTTCTCACATTATCACAGTTTATTAAACCTGAAAATAGCTTTTTAGACCATTTGTATCAGACATATTGTATGTATTTGAACTTTTACTTCTTTTTAATTATTGTTTTTACTTTGCCACTGACTCATTAGTTGGGTTAGTAGTTTTAGCTGTGATATATATCCTATATATTATATATGTATATAACAGTACCTGGGCTGTAACTGTGTTCAGACAGACTCTCCTCTTCATCCTCCGTCACATACGCGACTCGTTCACACACTTTCACCGGCGTCCCCTTCCTCTTCCTGCCACACACACGCCTGCGAAACACACACACACACACACACACACAGTTACTTACTTGCAGTACTCACTATTACAGTGCTGACAATAACAGTTTAATAAACACACACAAAATTAATAATTAATAAATAATCATGTAGATAATAATGTGAAAATTAATTATTACAATAAAAGCTTAATAAACGCTTTACCTGATATATATATATATATATATATATATATACATACACTACCGGTCAAAAGTTTTAGATCGGTAAGATTTTTATGTTTTCTGTTCTCTTTTTATGTTTTATGTTTTCTTCTGCTCACCAAGGCTGCAATTATTTGATAAAAAAACAAACAAACAAACAAAAACAAAAAAACACGGTAATATTGTGAAATATTATTACAATTTAAAATGGCGGTTTTCTATGTGAATATACAGTAAAGTGTAATTTATTCCTGTGACCAAAGCTGAATTTACAGCATCATTACTCCAGTCTTCAGTGTCACATGATCCTACAGAAATTATTATAATATGATGCTCAAGAAACATTTATGATTATTATCCATGTTGAAAACAGTTTTTTATATTTTTATTTCAGGATTCTTTGATGAATAGAAAGTTCAAAAGAACAGAATTGATCTGAAATGGAAAGCTTTTGTAACATTAATCACTACCATTCAAAAGTTTGGGGTCAGTAAGAATTTATTTTTTATTTTGGGGGAAATAAATTAGAAAATACTTTTATTCATCAAGGATGAGTTAAATTGATCAAAAGTTACAGTAAAGGACATTTATAATGTTAGAAAAGATTATATTTTAAATAAATGCTGTTCTTTTCAACTTTCTATTCATCATAGAATTTTTTGGGGAAAAAATGGTACACGACTGTTTTCAACATTGAAAATAATAATTTATGTTTTTTGAGCATAAAATCAGCATATTAGAATGATTTCTGAAGGATCATGTGACACTGAAAACTGATGTGTAATTAGCAACAGTAATGATGTTTAAAATTCAGCTTTCAAATTACATGTTAAACTAGAAAACAGTCATTTTAAATTCTCATAATATTTCACAATATTACTGTTTGTAATTTTTTTTCATCAAATAAAGCAGCCTTGGTGAAATCTTACTGATCCAAAAACTTTTGACCGGTAGTGTACATATGTATTATTATTTACATGATATATATATATATATATACATACATAACACAAACTAATGTGAATTATTATTATCATCGTGACTATTTAGTTAGGTATAAAATTCAAAAATTAAACCAATCAAAATGGATTTAACAAAGCGATAAATGGACAAATCAAAGCACAAAATGAATCACTATCGGTCGTAAAAAAAATATTCGCTCGATGTTTTTGCGTTACGGTTACCATGGCAAACTGCTGTAACGGTCGCCTGCACACGTGCACGCGCTCACAGGTTTCGCGCACCCGCGCGATGTTTTGCTAATCGTTCGCGTTGCGGCCGCGTTACGGTTCCCCGGTAAAGCCGTTCGGAAAACACACTCACTCTAAACACGGTAACACACGCGAGCTCAGAGAACGAGATAGAACGGCCACGGGTGTTCTCTCATCACGGGTGGGCACGAGGACAACAGAACCGGACCTGCTAGCCGTTAGCACGCACGCGAATCCCAGCGTTCCCAACCGAATCAAACGGCCCGAACGGTTCCGTTAGCGGGAGAGACTCACCCGCGCGGTGGCGGAGGCTTGCTGCCGTCCCCGTCGCTGTCGAGGGTCGGGGGATCCCGGTAATCGAACGGCGACCGCACGCTCTCCGCCATTAGCGCTGCTCCGGTGCGCATGCGCAGAAGCCCTCCGCGGGCCAGGCCCTGACATGGGCTCCAGCGTGTACAGTAATATCATAAACCGATCACTGATATAGACCAGGGCATCCACGACAGCTCGAGCCTTAAAATGAACGCATTCAGGGAAAAATAATTGAAATTACAGCTTGGGAATTTCTATGCATTTAGGCCTCCTATTTATAAAAATGATCTATATTATGATTGCTCATTTGCAATGATTCTGTGCATAATCTATATAATATTATACTCTAATCACATTTATAGATCAGTGCATCACTGGCCACAGGAGGTAAAGAGAAAAATCGAGCATTAAAAGATTTTAAAATCATGCTGATGCTTTACAGTCTCTGTGCATCATCTATATACAATAATATGATAAACCAATCAGTGCACTGTAATATGCAAACTCGAAATTATGTTAAAAAAAATTCATAATTCAAAAACTCGAGCCTTAAAATGAACGCATTAAATTAAAAATAATTGAAATGAACGCATGTGAATTTCTAAGGCTTGTGTATTTTTTTTAGACTTTCTTAATGTTTCATATTACAAAATTATCAATATTGCTCATACAATTACAATGTTCTGTTTCTATGCGTTTAATACATACAATAATTCATTCATTCAGACGCTTTTGTTTTATCTCAATCTGATCTTAAAGAGGCAAGAATTCATCAAGGAAATATTATATAACTGTAGTATTGAAGTATAATTCATATATAAATAAGTCAATTTTACTGTATATTATGAGGAATGCTGATTAACTGCGTCTGTGAATATAAAAACGTGTTATTCTGAGGTGGTGCTTATATTTACACATTTTAATTATTACAGTGATGAATTAATATATTTTTAAATGTACAGTGTGAGTTTGCTGTCGTTTTATTATTTCTGTTTTCCTTTTGTTTTGTTGATTAAATTGATATTTATATATTATTTCAAGGAACATGCAGAAGAAATAATTCTTGGTGTTGTTGCCCAGAATCATTGTGATTATCACATAATTATTTTAGCAATAATAAGAGGCGTATTCATCAATTAATATTAATATCCATGTACAAATATTCTTGTTATTCTGGAAAATAATGTGTGTTCTTTATTTGTCAAGCTTTTTATTATTGCAGTTTGTATTATTTATTTCTAATGTTTATTATTTTATTAAACTCGAATAACACACACACACGGGTTTCATCCCATAATTTATTGATTAATATAGACATGTGGTTACAGTAGAAGCGAGAGTTCAACAGTGCATAAACATCTGAATATGATTCACAGCATTCACAACTTCTGCTGGTATTAGTAGCAAACAAATGCGTCACAGTGTTACGTTTACAGTAACATTTAATAAATAAAGAAATTAATATATTAATAATTCAGATTTTTGGTTATAAGTAGTGTTTTTTTTTTTTTTTTTGCAAAAAACGATACTATAGTAATGCCTTTGATTTTCATTTAATTCACAATGAAATATGACGTCCATCATACAGTAATTCACAGTCTAAGTCAAGGCTACATCATCAGTTAGTACAGTATGAGTGTTAGTCGCATCATATTCATATCTCGCTCATGGATATTAGACACTTCATTCCTTCATAATCAGCTTATAAATCTAGCAATCTCATAAACGTTGTGTGTGTGTGAAATGACCCTACACGTAAAGGACTTTCTCCTGAACGTAACAATATTTGGCTCTATTTTATAGATTTATGTGTTTGAATTTTGAGCTCATAAACGTAATGTGGTTCATATCTGTCAGTCACGCATACATGAAACATTTTGGCCGATACGATAATTGTTCATATCTGCAAGCCGATAACCGATTAGCTGATAAACCTAAATCTGAATTTTCATAAAAAGTCTCACCATTAAATCCATGTCCCAAACACACAATTATAATATTCACGATAATTTTATGTAGCCGATATGACCTTTGTAAAAGCTGTATTTTTGTTTTAATATATATAACCCGTCCTAAAATACGAGTAGCTGTGGAATAAACAATATTCAACCAGATCAAATGAGTGAGATTGAAACGAACTGATGATAAATATATAAACCTGCAGCTATTGTGTGTTTAATCCGGCCTGTTTCAATAATGCATGACTGAATCAAATATTCAAACAAATCCAAATCATGGAAGTCAAAGACATAAATCCTATTATTTTCGATCGGAAAATCCTGCCATCATTTACTCACATTCATGTCCATCCAATCCTGCCAGACCTGTCATTAGCAACCGTGAGCTGACCTTTGACTTGTGTATGTGTTGAGAGTAACTGATGGCAGAAGAGAGACGGACCCAGCACTGAGCCCTGCTGACCCTCACATCCTTTCACACACCGAAGTGATCCAGAGGAGATTATCATGGGTTGTTCATCGACACGTCTCAGGTCTCACCTTGGATTTTTCCCCCCTTTTTTAGTTCAGAAGTAAAATTATACTGATTTTTATAAAACAAGACAAACAATTTGTCATTTGTGTAAAAATTAGCACTGGGCAACGATTAATCGCATTTAAAAATACACACACATGCACGCATGTAAGAATTTTTTTTATTTATTTTTAATTATTTTTTTATTTTGTATATATATATATATATATATATATATATATATATATATATATACACACACATTTTTATATATATATATTTTTTTTTCTTAAATATATACAACATGCATATGTGTGTGTTTATATATATAAATTGTATATTTAAGAATTTTTTTTATTTAATTTTAATTATTTTTTTTATTTATTTTTTATTGTGTATATATATATATATATATATATACACACACACACACATTTATATATATATATATTTTTTTTCTTAAATATATACAACATGCATATGTGTGTGTTTATATATATAAACTGTATATTTAAGAATTTTATTTAATTTTAATTATTTTAATTTATTTTTTATTGTGTATATATATATATATATATACATATATATATATACACACACACACACACACACACACACACATTTCTATATATATATATATATATATTTTTTCTCAAATATATACAACATGCATATGTGTGTGTTTATATATATAAACTGTACACACATAATATTATGTGTAAACACACTTTTAATCTGGATGGATTAACCGTTGCCCAGCGCTAGAAAAAATTAAACCCGATTCAAAGCAAATCCTCTGAAAACCAGCAAATGTGTGTTAAAGGGTGTTTAGAGCTGAGCTGACGTCTGAGTGGGTTAGGGTTAGGGGTCCTGATGTCTGAGTGGGTTAGGGTTAGGGGTCCTGATGTCTGAGTGGGTTTGGGTTAGGGGTCCTGATGTCTGAGTGGGTTTGGGTTAGGGGTCCTGATGTTTGAGTGGGCATACGGAGATGAGGCTCGACTCCAGCGAACACACTGGCTCACACTGGGTGGGTTTGGGTCTGAACTGCAGAACTGAACGGCTGAAGAGCTGTGTGTGTGTGTGTGTGTGTGTGTGTATGTCTAGAGGATCTGCTGCTGCTGTTGTGTCTCCGTGTGGAACGCGTGCAGTGTTTGCGAGGCGGACTCGGTCCAGTGGATGAGCTCCAGCAGAACCCGATAGGTCCAGAGTTTAGCAGCAAAACTACCAGAACCTTCAACTTCATCCTGACCCTGAGAACCAGAGACAACACACTTTACAAATCAGGTACAACTGAGCCTGAAACGTGTGTGTGTGTGTTAGAGAGAGAGAGAGAGAGAGCATGTGTGTTAAATAAAGACATCATCAGTCTGTCTCCACACAGCTTCTAGATAAAACACACATTTTAAACCCACTCTGTGGTCAGTTTGGGGCGTTATAGGCACAGAAATAGACCACACACACACACACACACACACACACACACACACACTCAGATCTAGAGTGAAGTGGCGAGCCAATCGTCGGTTCATAGGTCATGTCAAGAACACATTCATTATGTTGTGCTTCATGTCGTCATCTATGAAGAAAAGTGTAGGAGATCCGCTGGAGCTAAAAGCAGAAACACACACACACACACACACACACGCCACGAGAATAGCGCAGCTTTTACAGTAAATATACACGCTCTCGAACTGAAATACCACAGGAAATATGCCTCAGTTTTCCAATCTTGACTATTTTCATATTCGAGTATTTTTCAAGCGTGTCCTTCTACATTATATTCCATTCATTTATAGTTGCATTTATCATAAATATAGCAGTCACTCTGATAATGGAGTTCAAAACCGCTTACGGTCTCACAGCCGAGGAAATACAGCACTGATTATCATCAAATTTGACAGCAATGGATTTTATGAAGTGATTTAGCAGACTTTTTTATTTTACAGACTAAATTAAATAAAGGAAATTATAAATGCATCATGAAATATTGCAATAAATCAATTAAGGTGCAATAAAATTTAAGCATTAATCATGTTTCATGGAATATTTCATAATAATACGTTTCTTTTATATAGCGCCTTTCAGAATACTCAAGGACACTTTACAATAAAATAAAAATAAACATTGACATTAAAACATGACAAACACAATAAAAATAAATCGAAAATTCATACATATTTCTATCACTTATTAGGCTTATATTTTTGGATTTAAGTAATCCATTATTTAGTTAAATATTGGTTTTCATTTTATTTCAAGGGGGTTTTTCATTTTAAGACATACCTAATGTCCTTTATCATTTTACATTAAAAAAAATTAAGAAACTTACAATTTTACTAAGTTTTAAGCTTAAGTCACTTTAAGGTTTAAGTTTAAGTCACTTTAAGGTTTAAGTTTAAGTCACTTTAAAGTTTAAGTTTATGTCACTTTAATGTTTAAGTTTAAGTCACTTTAAGGTTTAAGTTTAAGCCACTTTAAGGTTTAAGTTTAAGTCACTTTAAGGTTTAAGTTTATGTCACTTTAATGTTTAAGTTTATGTCACTTTAATGTTTAAGTTTAAGTCACTTTAAGGTTTAAGTTTAAGTCACTTTAAGGTTTAAGTTTAAGGCACTTTAAGGTTTAAGTTTATGTCACTTTAATGTTTAAGTTTGTCACTTTAAGGTTTAAGTTTAAGTCACTTCAAGGTTTAAGTTTAAGTCACTTTAAGGTTTAAGTTTAAGTCACTTTAAGGTTTAAGTTAAGGCACTTTAAGGTTTATGCTTTTAAGTCACTTTAAGTTTAGATTAAGTCACTTA